TTGGGTTGATTAATGTGGGTTGTAAATTATAGGTGTCGAGTACAATCGTGGCGGGTAGTCGGAGAGTTCATTCTGTATTGCTAATCACTTGAGAATGGACTTAGTCAGGGGGTCGTGACGAAGGACCCCTAGAATTGGGGGTGTTTTTATTAATTCTCCAGTCATTTGGATATTAATATTGGATAGAGAGGGGCCGTCTATTTGTACGTGATTAGGAATCGACAAATGTTGAGTTATGGTCTGACATGACATCTATTGTGGGCGGATTGCACGACTTTTTGATTCATTGTCTGTGGTCCCTACAAGAGTCAATAACATCGAATTCAATTATGTGTTATCAAACCATTTTAAATTGAAATAAATAATTTACAATCTAGACAAACAATACTTTATAAAAACGACGTTTGCAAAACCTTTGAAACTCACTTTAAAATAAAAAGTCAACCAAAAACAAATAAACAAACAAAAAACAGCAAAAAAAAAAAACAAAAACAAGACCCGTTTATAAAACACAGTCGAGTAATTAGTAAATAATAAGTGAAATGGTTGGGGTCGGTAATTAGCGCGGCCTGCGTGGCCCCAAACGTTTATTTTTGTTGATTGCATACAAACTGACCGACGGACGGACTTTGAGAGACCTTTCAAAATGTAGGCACTGTTGGGGCTCTTTGATGCTCTACTAAATTGTTTTTATATATAGAATTTCAATGGCTGTTATTGAGCTTTGTTTTTAGGTTTATAGCTTAAATTAGATCAAAACTTTTATAGTGACATGAGTTTTGATACGGTTTTTTTCTTAAATCAAAACTACGTTTAGTCTACACGACCATTTCTAGTTGGCAAATACGCTGAAAATTAAGCCTTTAGCTGCTGACAAAAACTGTTAAAGGCTAATCCTCCGCTAGCGTCGGACATCATTGTCCGATATAGCATCAAATGTGTTAAGCTTTCTTCATGGTTAAAATGTTTAGTTCGTTTTCCAAAAACTTGAATAGAAGCCCAATAATTCATTCTTAGCCTAAAATGAAAAGGAAATAACGCAAATGTTTATAAAAAACTAAGAACTTCAACGTTTTCATGGAAAAAGTCCTTCAAAAAGGAAGAATAAGGCAATCTAAAGATTACCAACTTCCCAAAGGTTTGCCTTCAGTCAATTACCCCGTCTGCCAGATCACAGTATCAAAGCTACCCCTTGGCGAAGTAACACAGATGAATAGTGACGCTAGTGGCGCGTGGTACACTGTACAGTCACGGACAGCGCGCACTAAATCTCCAGCACAAAGCGCGGCGCGGCGCTGCGGCTTTGTGCGCTCAAATTTATGGCCACCAGTGTACGCGCGATGTTTCGCTTGCTAAACATTGCACTGTAATTATGTGTTTGTAAGACTGTTTCGGGTCATATATCATTTTGGTGGAGGTTCCCGTCCTAAGTACCTGGTTGCTTCAGATGCTTCGCTGTATGTTTAGTTCGGTAAATGTATACAGATCATGCTCTATATTTCTTTTTAGTTTTATTTAGTTTTAGTTAGAGTTTTAGTGGAGTTGTCATGCTCACTCAAAGGTCTCATTGGCGGTGGCGCGTGCAGTGGATCGCTCGATTCCCTACAATATGGTTGATTTGGGCGGTGCTGGTGTACGTGTCATGTTCGTGAACGGGCGCCGTCAACTGGGACTGGTCAGCTCCAGACTGTATTATTTATTTTCCTAAAGGTTATTTTCTTTTTCGATCACTTTGACTGGATTTTAGTGTTACATTGTTCTCGCACAATCCAAACAGCAAAACTTTGTAACTAGTAAATTGTATTGTGAACCTGATTGAAAAAGAGTAATCTATGGAGTTTGTTGCTCGTTCTTCTCCATAGGAAGATTCCTATGTAGAGGTATTTATTTATATTTATATAGAACTTATTTTCTCATTCTAAGGTGTATCTACACCTAAATAAAATAGCTTCACTTTTAATTTTTTTGTTGACGTTCTAAAGTGCTTCTCTGGTCTAATTGAAATAAATGATTTTGACTTTGACTTTGACATAAGCGTACAGATAAACGGTACAGATAGACGGTTGGACGCAACTTGATAATTTAATAAAACAAAATTAAATCTCAGTCCCAGCCATGAAAGTTGGTCCGAGTACATAATATAAAGGCGAGTGCGCGCCGTATATTGGCCAGTACCAACAATAGTTGCCGCAACGCAGTGACATTATAATGCACACAATACAATGCAGCTTTTGTTCGCGCGACCGGCCAGTGTTATAAGCAGACGCATAAATCTACGCGAAACATTGCCGGAGTGTCGACACACGCGCGTTATTGTACGGGGGTAGTGGAAATGTTTGGAGCTCGTTGTGTGGGTAGGAAAATTTATTTAGTTTGTAGTTACTGTGATACGTAGAGTAATTGTAATAATAAAAATGTGACGTCACGTCTATGGTCCTAGTAGAGCTAGGACTGCCTCGTTGGCCGAGTGGTCGCAAGTGCGACTGCCGGTCAAGGGGTCTCGGGTTCGATTCTCGGGTCGGGCAATGTATTACTGGGTTTTTCAAAAATTCACAGTAGTAGCACGGAGTCTGGAATTGTGCCCGGTATATGGCAATAGGCTCACCTCCTATTACATGGGACTCATAACATAAATAGTGAAAAGTGGGCGTTACATTGTACAGTGGCATGCACACCTCTGCCTACCCCTTCGGGGATATAAGGCGTGATAGGATAGGTAGATGTAAGACAGAATGGTTACGAAAGTATTCAATAACTGCGCATTAATTTATTTAACTTTGGTTCAAGGATATATTATTGGTTAAATTAGACCAGTACACGACATATACCTGGGAGTCCCCGCCATATACTTAAATATTTACAGTAGGTAATGATTACGATATTCTTTGTGTGTAATAATTTATTAGTTTACCATCATTCACTTTTCGTTACAACTGTAAATTTTGAAAATGTGTTTGCTACGAAATTGCTACGCAGTTGCTACGAGATCAAACATTTTTACTTTTTCGCGTATTTATTATTTTCCACAGATAATGTAAGTACTTACTTACTATATTATATCAAGCAGCAAATATACCTTCAGTGAGCACTGTACATTTATTATGTTTTCTAGGTTTAAAAAACACGAGAAGGAAAACTTAAGAACTAATTTTCTTTTTGTTTGGAACACAAAATTGTTATCAGAATAAGCCATTTTGATCCTACCATTGAAATCACTCGTTACTAGTTCAGTTTAACATTAATATCTTTATAATTATATTCATCCCCTCATAAAGCCCTGCAGACTGAACATTGTTGATACACGACAAATAAAATAAAAAGCAAAACATTGCCAACAGCATCATTTACCAGCAGATGTCTATATTCATTCCACACACATTTCAATACCTCCATTCATCTCTTTCACACAAACACAATAACACTATCCTCTATCCCACTCGCACACATAATGAGATTCAAAATGGCCAGTATTCGCTTTATTGTAATTCAATAAAAGTTGTTTGTATTGTATAAAAAGTTTTCGTATTATTTTAATTGAATATTTTTTCGTGCGAGGGCGTACCTTTTATAATAACACAAAAACGAATCTCATTTTTTCTTTTCATTAGATTTATTCTTAAAGAACGGTTTACATTGACGATTGTGTTCATTGAATTGGTTCACTTATACTCAGTGTCTTTTCAATGTAATCGTTTTTTGCGAAGCTGCCGGAGTCTCGATTACATTTTAATGGTCGCAGTCGATTTATTTCAATGACTGTTCTGTTCACTCGAGATGCTTTTATGGTTTTTAAATTGACGGATAGCGTTCCATTTTTGAATATTGAATTAAAATGTTTTTTTTTCTTTTGTGTTAGATGACAGCTACCTGTTATGTTTTTGTTTGTAGTTAGAAAGGAGGTTGCGTGAATAAGTAAAAAGTTTTTATCAAAACTTGCTTAGTGCCTGCCTACATGACATAAAACTGCCTACTATCGATATAACAGTACATCCATTAAACCTTATTAAGAGTGGAATAAACTCTCGATACCCCACGTCAACGTCAACGTTAAAAAAACAATAACTTGGGCCATTAAATTGGTTCAGACGACTGCGCCGACTTGCTTTAATTGCGGCGACACAATGACTGGTACGACTTGTGCACACCCTGTATAAGTGTAGCCGCGGGTATACGTGTCGCTTTATTTTGGAGCATACTGTGTATGTAAGAAAACCTTGTGCCTAGCCTAGGTTACGTTATAAGAGATATTATTTGAAAGAATATACGAAAAGAAAACCAATCAAATAACTTTTCAAGGTCACCCATCAAACTACTTCATAGTTGAAGAACACTTACTCATAAAACTTTCACATGAAAGAACAATAGTAAACAGACACGTTTTGTGGGACAAAAATATTAATTAGGTTTATTTTAAGACATTATTCAAAAAAAGTGTTTAGGTTGTCTAATACTTGAGTAGCACAAGAAACGGTACCTATTTGAGATTTCACTCTACAGACACGTTACACAAACACAAGTATAATATTATTTAAAATATATTTAAACATTCTGTTCATTTCTGTGTCATTATTTCAAGTAAAACAGTCGGAGTGTACACCCCACCACGCAACACACACACTGCCTTGTTCTTTTTGTTCTCTCATATTGTTTGAACTTTTGTTCCCGACTGTATTTTTGTCCGACCGTGTGTATTTTGAATTTCGAAACGAATGTGTTTCACAGAAACAGTCTTTGTTTGATTTTCGAATGTTTTTTTTTTTAAATTGATTCGATATTCTGTGACTGTGTGCCTGGTACAATATTTGTGTGCGTTTTATTTTTGCACTGCGAGTGTAGGCGGCGATGCGCAAAAGTGTTTAACCTTTGACAACAGAGGGGAATTTATACCCAGATATACGCTTTACAACCTTGAATTTTAATACTAAAATTACTTTAGCATTTGTTAAAGCAAATACATGTACTTGTTTGTAACTTTCTAACATTAATTTCTTTGTCAACAGTTCAGAAAAGAGCCCGCATCACAGAAGTCTGCTCCAGTCCATCACCACCGACAGACTCACAACAAGAATCAAAAACACCTGCCCCCACCCCTCCACTCGCTACTCCACCCCCGCGCTCGCCCTCAGACCATGAACTAAACGTTGAAGAAGAACTAGAAGAGACAGAACCTTCACTAACACCTGAAAACCTTTCAATGAAAGAGCAGAGAGAAGAGGTTCCCGTCAAGAAGGAGGAAGAAGATAAATGGGACAACCCTGACTTCAAATACAAGATGTTCAGACGAGAGAGGAAGGAGACGGTAGAGACGGTGACTGAAGACCCTTCTCCGTATCAGAAGTCACCAGTAGATGTTCTAATAAAGGTGTTCCCGAGGCGCAGTCGACAGGAGATCGAAGGGATCTTAGCGAGGTGCAAGGGAGACGTAGTGGCTGCTATGGAGATGATGATTAACGGGGAGAACGCGAACCCTTACCAAGTGACTCAGGAGTCGCCTCCATACATGCAGTATCAGTCGAAGTCTGCCTTCTCTCCACTTTCAAACCAGAGCTTCAAGTTCTCTCCATCACGCCGGTTTCTGACACCTCCGTACAGTGGTACCGGGTACTTACCGACAGTGATCCGACCACCGCCAGAATATTTATCCTCGTTCATGCCTCCCTCCGAGCTCATGTATGGCAGACAGCTCCAAGTCCCATCACCAGGCACCTCCCCAACCTCTGACAATACAAATAATGACGGATTTTCTGATTAGGGGTACCTGAAATATTGGACTGTGCTGTAATGCGTCATTGGGCTTTCGTGCGTCACTGGTGTGCCGTACTGTGTCATTGGCAAGTACGTGGAAGATGGTCTCTAGTGGTCATCAATGACGCGTGACGTCACAAGCCTGTAGTGTAGTGCTGTGTCAAAGACTTTGTTCAATATCATGTTACTTTATATTAGTGAAGCTGCTATAGATATTCTTGATACTTTCGATATAAATAGGCGACTGTATAAGGCTTATAATGTTTGTAGCGACTCGATTAGTATCTAAACGCTAAGTTAAATGAGTTATTATTTTAAAATATATTACGGACTTTAATCTCTAAATTTAGCTGTATGGTTCTATGTAAATAACAATTTCTATAATAGATAAAATATCTTTTTAAGAACGATTTTATTGCTTTCTTATTCTTTAGTGACAAATGTTTAATTTTTCTAAACAATTAGATATTTAAAAAAATAATAAAATTAAGAAACATTAATGTAAATATGGCGTATTTGTTCGCTTATAAAAGATTAGATTGTCGTAATTTTATAAACTAAATACTACCTTATGTACTTAATAGTATAGTTGAGATTTACTTGTAGCATTTGTCGTAGAGTAGGAATTTGATAGTGAGTACATTTAGTGACAGTAGCGTGGAACGCTGCCGATGTATAAACGTGTAAATACATACAAACATAATGTTATACCTAAATACGTATTAATAAATTTATAATGTAGTCAAGTATCAACATTAATCGGTCGTCGATCAAATTAAATTAGGAATTTATTTGGAATTTACTTTTTACTGTATTTAAATTGTGTATTAATAACATTTGAATTCATTTGGATGTTTTATTTCTGAGGTGTATCAAAATGTATATTTATATTATAACTTTCGTGAGACATACTATATTAATAGCAGTAGCAGTCGCAGCGACAGTCGCTGCGTCGCGGGTCGCTCATAAATATGAGCCTCTAGCATGGCTTGAAACTAGTCGAGTTCCTCGACAAACAGTTACATCAGTAATACGAAAACATAATAATTAAAATGTATATTTTCAAAGTAAATATATCATGAGATATTTTTAATACTTTTCTCCATTTAAAAATTGTTTTAGAAAAGCATTTTCTAATTAATAATAACGTTGTGTGTTATCATTATATTAATTTATTTTAACACAACAAACTCTATTGTATTACTAGACCTTTCAAGTAATTATAATATCTCCTTATGTAATAAATAAGAATGTAAATATAAAGCGACTCTGAGTAGAAATAGATTTGACATGAGATTAATTGAATAGAATCTGTATAACGAATAAACTTTTAATAAATAATTTTAAATTCTACTTAGGGATTATTAGGAAACTATTATATTTTTGGTATAAAATATTAAATTACATAACATAACATCACGCCTTTTATCCTCGAAGGGGCACATTATGCCACTGTACAATGTAAAACCCACTTTTCAGTATTTATGTGATGAGTCCCATGTAATAGGGGGTGAGCCGATTGCCATATATCGGGCACAATTCCAGACTCCCTGCTACTACTGAGAATTAATAATACTTTGCCCAACCCGGGAATCGAACCCAAGACCCCTTGCCCGGAAGTCGCACTTGCGACCACTAGGCCAATGAGGCAGCCATTTTATTAAATTATATAATATTTAATTATAATATTTATAAACGTTCAATAAACCAATTCCAGTTAAACAACGTTTATGAGTATTATTTAACTAAAAAGTTTTATAATACCTTCGTGAATACAGTGACTGGCAATAAATATAGCACGTCGACTTTTGAAAAGAGACAATTCTGTGAATATATTTTGCTTATTCAATCTTTTTATGATTTACGCGGCGACTCGGTTGATTGTCATGTTCCAAAGGTCGATGTGCAATATCCATCGCCGGGTACTGTACCCTATTTAATTTAAAACTCTATGTAATACGTATTAAAGATGATATTCGAATGAAATACTCGGTATGGTTTAGTGTTCAATAGTTAGCTAATATTAGTTATTGTAACTGTACTTACATACTAGATATAGTCCCGTGTTTACTCGTAACTACTAGAACACATTGATACTGTACTGTAACATAATAAATAAACGTGCTCAATAAATCAGTACATACACTTGTATTATTTTATAACACGACTAACTTTCGACTGCGATTTTACATACATAAAAAGACAATTGGGATGATGACAGGACATGAAAATTAAAAATCAAATTAGTCCGTAAGTTATGTAATGAAAAAATATTAGACACGTATTTTTTTATTTTGTCATATAATAAAACAATACTTAGATATAACGAATCAAAGTTTAGGAGTGGGAGCTAAAACGTCATTTCTATGTACATTACATAGAAGTGACGTCACGCGACATTTCAAATCAATATATCGTCGAAAGTATTCGTTTCTGTAAGAAAATAAAAAATACGTGTCTAATGTTTTAAAATAATCTACCAGACGGACATTAGGATAAAAATTAGGCATCTTCCCTATTTCTGCATTGTCCATTCCCTTGAAATTCAGGGAAGTCCTCACTTGATGTTTCATCACATTCTCCAAGGAACATAATATACACAATACATACCAAGTTTCAGTTAGAATTTGAGACAAACGAGTAGGTGGGTCAACTGATGGTAAGTGGTCAGTACCATGTAAGGATACCAGAAGAATTATAAATTACCGTAAGGTATTTTCACTGCCTCGTTGGCCGAGTGGTCGCAAGTGCGACTGCCGGGCAAGGGGTCTCGGGTTCGATTCCCTGGTCGGGCAAAATATTACTGGGACTTTCTCAAAAATTTCAGTAGTAGCACGGAGTCTGGCATTGTGCCCGGTATATGGCAATAGGCTCACCCCCTATTACATGGGACTCAACATAAATAGTGAAAAGTGGGTGTTACATTGTACAGTGGCATTCAGTGCCGTAATGTACACCTCTGCCTACCCCTTCGGAGATAAAAAGGCGTGATGTTATGTTATGTTTATTTTAATATAGAGATAAGAAGAGTATGGCTAAGCATACTGTTCAGTATTTATTGTGCGTTACTTGTCAGTCAGTCAGTCAATAACGGTTATACAATTATTAATGAGAAATTGAAATATTCAATAATACGAATTACTTAAGTATTGGCAGACTCAAAACTATTGAGGAAACTGTTTTGACAAAGTTTTTTTTATAATATAGGCATTTTAGTATTTATGCAGTATTCGTTTAGCAGTATATATTGTATGGTATGTATATGTCTATACAGATTTATAAAATATTGTATTAATATATTTATTCTATAGCTATTTATGTGGCTAGTATACATATTACATAACATTTTTTTTTGAATTGTGTTCTGGCTCGCATCAACCACTTCATTTCTCTGCACTTCCCTATGGTTGACTGTCAGAGAATGCCTTAAGGCATTAAGTCCGCTATTCACTTCTATGTTAAGTGAAGAAGAAATAAATAAATAATAAAACAAACGGGGTGAGCTAAATAAAACCGTTTAATTAACAAATAAATAAATACGTTTTCTTAGGTGGCCTCATTCAGACGAAGAAACACAACGCAAGCACTGTACAGCTGTCACCACGCACCAAACAAAATACCCATACATCCCCATCACCACTACATGACACTATCTACTACATGCACTTTGTCTTAGTGACGTCACAGTACAGTAAGCGCACACAGCGCCCCCATGCGGCACAATGCGTCTTACATGCACAATGGAGGTTGTTATCGAGCCGACAGACTAATTACTGGCTTCACTGGACAGAGACCAGCCTGTGTACTGTGTATTGCCTGATACTTAGTACGTGGCTTGTGGAAGATGGACTAAGTTATTGGCGGGACTGGGTAACTTAGTTCTAAGTTCAGTAGAAAGTAAGTGATGGGCTGCTGTTAAATGTATTGCAGGTTCGATTTATGTATGGAATAATTTAGTAGATTTGGAGTTTAAAGCATCTTACCTCTAAAATGAGATAGTATAATGATATAATTTAGAGTTCGAGGTAGTATGCTCGGTATATTTTCTTAAGTACATATTATATACGTTATAGTTCTAATGAGCAGTCGATTAATTCCTTGAAAATAAATATTAGAAAGTCATCTTGATTTACACTACACGTAAATTACCTAGCGCTGTCATTATTGTAAAGTCAAAGTCAAAATCATATATTTCAATTAGACCAGGAAGGCACTTTTGAACGTCAAAACAAAATATTTAAATATGAAAAAATGTCAGTCTGTAGGTCAGTCCTCTAGTGAAGCTATTTGCTGTAAGTCAGCACGATAAACAGCAAGATTTACAATGGATTTCTTTTCTACTATTACTATTACATCAGCACAAGTACAAGTACTATTATGGCAACAAAAAAAACAAAACAATACTTTTACACCTACACATACGTCACAGTACTGCAACCACTCATCATTCAATAACTGGCCACAAAAAAAAAACTAACATTTGACAGTTCACAACTCGGGCCAAACAATCTTGATACTTGTCACTCAATCCCCTATTCTCGACATGAATGGTCAGTGAGGAGCGCGTTGTCAACTCGACGTCGTCACGATGACGTCACTCGTGCTCGAGGGGACGAGCTGTGTCTGTGGGACAGTCCGTATTGTCCCATGCAAATTGGACGATGTGAAGGCTAGAAGATTGGCGTTTGTGCTGCGCTGGGTGCTTCGGAAGATATGTCGTTTGGACACGATTGACAGTCCTTAAATAGTTTGGCTTCATAAACGTGTTGATTGGAGCAAAGCGATTGTTTTTACGTAAGTATACTTAAACTGGTGTATAAATGCAATATGTGAAACTATAGTTGTATAGTTTTCTTGCAAAATTAAAGAGCTTCCAGATAGTAAACTTCTACGACTTTTAGTTTTATGTAAGTTAACTTTAAAGCTATGTCATCGGTACCTATACCCCGTGTTGATGTTAAAGTAAAAAAAATCAATATGGCAACTAAATATTCCCATGCATAAATC